ATTAGACAAGCTAATGAGACCACGCCCTATATAACTCCTTAAATCACCGCCCACTAGGAATGTTTAACACCTGGGTAGGCCTCTGCTTATTTGCAAACAATAGCTAATTAACCAGCAATCAACAGCAAGTAACTAGATAAATCAAATCAAATGCCTTATAATTACCAACAGGAATTCAAACCTTGGGCAATCAGTAACCTTTTCCTACAGATGAATCTTACCTGTAACAGTAGAAAAGAAAGCTCTTAGCACAACTCTTAGACAGTTGAAGCTTCTGTAAAACTCTCCAGAATATCTCCAACTAGACACTTAGAAACAGCACTTGGAAGTAGCACCAAGCTATATTAGACAAGCTAATGAGACCAAGCCTTATATAACTCCTTAAATCACCGCCCACTAGGAATGTTTAACACCTGGGTAGGCCTCTGCTTATTTGCAAACAATAGCTAATTAACCAGCAATCAACAGCAAGTAACTAGCTTAATCAAATCAAATGCCTTATAATTACCAACAGGAATTCAAACCTTGGGCAATCAGTAACCTTTTCCTACAGATGAATCTTACCTGTAACAGTAGAAAAGAAAGCTCTTAGCACAACTCTTAGACAGTTGAAGCTTCTGTAAAACTCTCCAGAATATCTCCAACTAGACACTTAGAAACAGCACTTGGAAGTAGCACCAAGCTATATTAGACAAGCTTAATGAGACCAAGCCTTATATAACTCCTTAAATCACCGCCCACTAGGAATGTTTAACACCTGGGTAGGCCTCTGCTTATTTGCAAACAATAGCTAATTAACCAGCAATCAACAGCAAGTAACTAGCTTAATCAAATCAAATGCCTTATAATTACCAACAGGAATTCAAACCTTGGGCAATCAGTAACCTTTTCCTACAGATGAATCTTACCTGTAACAGTAGAAAAGAAAGCTCTTAGCACAACTCTTAGACAGTTGAAGCTTCTGTAAAACTCTCCAGAATATCTCCAACTAGACACTTAGAAACAGCACTTGGAAGTAGCACCAAGCTATATTAGACAAGCTAATGAGACCAAGCCTTATATAACTCCTTAAATCACCGCCCACTAGGAATGTTTAACACCTGGGTAGGCCTCTGCTTATTTGCAAACAATAGCTAATTAACCAGCAATCAACAGCAAGTAACTAGCTTAATCAAATCAAATGCCTTATAATTACCAACAGGAATTCAAACCTTGGGCAATCAGTAACCTTTTCCTACAGATGAATCTTACCTGTAACAGTAGAAAAGAAAGCTCTTAGCACAACTCTTAGACAGTTGAAGCTTCTGTAAAACTCTCCAGAATATCTCCAACTAGACACTTAGAAACAGCACTTGGAAGTAGCACCAAGCTATATTAGACAAGCCAATGAGACCAAGCCTTATATAACTCCTTAAATCACCGCCCACTAGGAATGTTTAACACCTGGGTAGGCCTCTGCTTATTTGCAAACAATAGCTAATTAACCAGCAATCAATAGCAAGTAACTAGCTTTAATCAAATCAAATGCCTTATAATTACCAACAGGAATTCAAACCTTGTGCAATCAGTAACCTTTTCCTACAGATGAATCTTACCTGTAACAGTAGAAAAGAAAGCTCTTAGCACAACTCTTAGACAGTTGAAGCTTCTGTAAAACTCTCCTGAATATCTCCAACTACACACTTAGAAACAGCACTTAGAAGTAGCACCAAGCTATATTAGACAAGCTAATGAGACCAAGCCTTATATAACTCCTTAAATCACCGCCCACTAGGAATGTTTAACACCTGGGTAGGCCTCTGCTTATTTGCAAACAATAGCTAATTAACCAGCAATCAACAGCAAGTAACTAGCTTAATCAAATCAAATGCCTTATAATTACCAACAGGAATTCAAACCTTGGGCAATCAGTAACCTTTTCCTACAGATGAATCTTACCTGTAACAGTAGAAAAGAAAGCTCTTAGCACAACTCTTAGACAGTTGAAGCTTCTGTAAAACTCTCCAGAATATCTCCAACTAGACACTTAGAAACAGCACTTGGAAGTAGCACCAAGCCAATACCACCTACCAAACAGCGAAATATTCACATATTTACGCATAAAACATATCTTAGGGGCCACCGGCAAGGAAAGGACACCAACACAACCCCAAAACCACTTTGACTTGCTATGCCAAGGTCAAAAAACCCCCAAAAAACCACTCTCCCTGTGTTACCATAGGCTGCTAGACATAGATAGACCGGCCAAACAATCATACATGCTCAAATGGGAAAGAGAATTGAACTGCGAACTCGAGCATGGGAAGTGGATAGGGGCCATGACACTGGTTAAACGGGCGACAAAGTGCTTGGACCATGTAGAAGCAGCCTACAAGATGTGGATGCAGTGGTACTACACGCCACACAGATTGGCCCAAATATACCCAGGGGTGCAGAATAGATGCTGGCGCTGCAGCCAACAAGGGGGAAACACGAGCCACATATTCTGGTACTGCCCGGCACTCAGCCAATACTGGCAACACATCCAAGACATAATTACATCCAAACTAGGAAAACAATTACCACTCAAACCCGAACACTATCTGCTCCACATGCTACCCCGAGACTTTACAGCCCATGAAGCAGTGCTGACTACCCACATCACCTTAGCAGCTAAAACGTGCATAGCCGCCTTGTGGAAAACAACGACAGTACCTGACATAAAAACAGTACTCGCCAAAATAAGCCTCACCCGACAGTACGAGCAGATGGCACATACAATAGGTGGCACATTAGAACACTACAACAGGACATGGTCCAAGTGGTGATGCCTGGGTGAAGGACGAATTACGCCCCATCTAGCTGACAAACTATGCCCCACCTAGCCTCCAAGCACGAGAGCATCTCTCCCCCCCCCCGTACTACACCCTTATCCCAGTTCACCCCCCCCCATACACAAAATAAGGGCTTACGTTGCCCTATCGAGCCTTAAAATATGAGATGATGAGCAGGTGAATTAGTTCCCAGTCTACAAGACACGACACTACACAAATAAACAAGCAACACGCAAAGGTGATACGAACCCGGTTGCTAACCATCGGGCCCACCCCAAAGAAGAGTGGAGGATACAGGTGGGAGGCTGACCACCGGAGGCCAGGGAGAAGCCACTTAGAGGCATGATAACACACACCAGAAAGCATGCCCAGTCTACCGGGTACTAAAATCAGGGCACTACCCACCACCTGTAACAAAAGCATGATTGTTGCTTGAAACAACACTCTGTACCATTACTACGAGGATGTATAGTAAAATGCCATTGTACAATGTTATCACTATATACTCTCTGTTGTGCAATATGTATGAAACGTAAAATGTAGTTTAAAGTGTCAATCCGAAACCTTTTCATCTCAATAAAAATGAAACATTTAAAAAAAAGAAGTGGTCATGGTGGTAGGAATCTGTATATGCATCATTTCTGCTTGAAAAGCTACACCTACTAAGATATATTAACTTTTGTTTCGGGGCTTGTTACACCCCCGGCACATATGGCTAAGGCATTTCTAGAGTGAATTCTGTGCATATTTTATATCTGTTGGGACAGACATACAGAGCTTCTCCCATGCAAGCAGATCCTGCTAGGGGAAGTGTCTCTTCTTCATTAAGTGCAGCCCCCCTGCCTCCCTATAACAATGCATGCACTCTGAGCTGGTTAAACTGTCCAATCAGAGGCTTCTCTTTGGAAAACTTGAGTTGATAATATTTTTTGTCTGTCTGTCTGATGACATGGTTAGATGCATGGAGGCAGCGTCAGAAGCTTTTTCTGTTGCTGAAATAAAAGTAAGTAAAATTATTTTTTATTGTTGTTGCAGTTTTACACATTGTTTTATTTTTTTAAAGTGATGGAATAACCCTTTAATGTTTTTTGGCATTTTGTTCTAATATTATAATGTGTGCCATGTGCCTCTCTTGTGTCCTGGTCAGTGAGCCATGACCAGTCTAATTTGCCTTAGTCATAAGGCTGTAGCTCTTTGATGATATAATTGATTTTCACACAATCCTATGACTTTTGGAATATGCCTAGAGGATAGGAGCACATGCCTTACAAAGATAGGTCTGTGCTACTGGGATAAGAGGGAGTTTCAATGCCTTCACTATAACTGTTCTCGTTCAAGTATCCTGAAGGAAACCCTTGTACAACATATATGGGGCCCCCTGCTGTACATCACGGAGAGTTCAAGAACTCTATTTACAGTAGATACTAGATAGACTGAGAATTCTCTGTCTGCTGGCAATGACTACATTGGGGATTTCACATCAACAAAAGACTTTTTATAAAACTAAAATGAACTGCTACGGCTGTCTTAAAGGGAGCCATTCAGTGAATAGTGCTTCCCTTTATCCCAACAAAACCCCAAATGCATACACAGCATTGCATGGGATAAAGTAAAATTCATTTCACTATTTGCTATGTATTTGTTTTTACTTGTGTGTGTGGTCTATGCTTCTAATATCTCAGCACCTATATTTCTGCTATTGGAGCTCAAACCCTGTTTTCTTACAACCTAGAAACAGCTGTTTAATTCAAAACATAATGTACAGAAATATATAAGATACTATAATTTACATATCTTGCACTTATCAGCAATGATATATTTTTGACTGGAAACTTATCATAATTTACATTCCCTGCTTTGTCTAAATTTTGCAATTCTTTTTTCAATTTGCCAATCTCTGTCTAGTAAATAAACCCTTAGAGGGATACTCTAAGCATTAAACAATTTTAACTTGATGAAGCAGTTTTTGTATATAGAATAGATTACACCCCTGCAGTCTCAGTGCTCATTTCTCTGCCATTTAGGAATTAAATCACTTTTGTATCTGTTTAAGCAACCCTTGTCAAACCTCCCCTGGCTGTGACTGACACAGCCTACATGAAAACAAGGTTTCATTCTCAGATGTGACAGCACAGTGTGTTTACTTTAGAAGTTTCTATTGTTTGCTTTGTTAATTGCACTTTAATCACAGACACTTAAGAGGCTTCTGCAGGCTTTAGCCGGCCATTAACAGAGCAGGATATAAGAAATTAAAAAGTAAACAGACTGCGCAATAAAGTACGCTTAAACATTAGATCTCTCTTTACAGGAAATGTTTAGGAAAACTATGTAGGTCACTTGCATGGAGGTTTGGCTAGGACTCCATAAACAAAGTAATTTAACGGCTAAATGGCAGAGAATTGAGCAATTAGACTGCAGGGGCATGATTTATAAACGAATGCTCTAATTGTTATGCATTGAAGGGTTCACAAGATATAGTCTAGTTCTTATGTCCTCCGATTCAAATTCATTCAGGAATGGGGGCACTCATCCCATGGGTTAAATAAGCAATCAGAGAGACTGGAACAAATATGGGGCTGATGTTGAAAATTGTAGGTGACTTCATGACTTAGTTGCTAATACCATCTTATGTAACTAAAAGTATTTTTTAAAAAGTACAATGTATCTTGTTTACACAGACTGATTGCTAAACATATTTATTACATTATACAGAGATTACTGTGAGTATTATTGCTGTGGAGCCTAGGTATAAATTCAGACACAGCAAGAATACATAGTTCCTGTAAAAGAGGGGCATTAGGAAAGACTAGAGCAGGGGTAGGCAACCTTTTAGCAGCACGGTGATGTCCCGTAGCGTGCCAGTCCTATTTTTTTTAAATTGAGGTGTGTATGCTGCCGTATTGTGCTTGTGTTATTTTTACTGTAATTGCTTTGTATCGTTGTATTTGTGCGTATATGAGCTATTATATTGTATATGTTCATGAGTAGTTTATGGTATTGTGTATGATACCTATGAATGTGGGCTGTGTATGGGGGCTGCTTGTGGAATTGTGTGTGTGGATGGATATGTCACATTGTGTGTTTGGTAGTGTGTGTATGTGTGGGGGCTGTTTGGGGTATTGCATGTGAGAGGCTGCATGCGGGGTTGTGTGCATGTATGTGGATTGTTAGTGGTGTTGCGTTTGTGCGGATTGTGTGTATGTTTGTGTGTGGGCTGTCCGTATTATTTGTATGAGGGGAGGGTTATTCTGCATTTCTGTGTATATCATGCAGTGTGGGTGGCTTCCCTAGGTTCCAGTGGGGACCATGCTGGCAAGGTACAGGTCAAGGCAGGAGTTGCAACAACAACAACTGCAGGCTGCTCTAACACTGTGTGGATTCCCATTCACAAATGCTGGAATGAAGTGCTCTGAGATCACTTCCTCTACGTGCTGCAATTAATAAATTGAGGATTGTCCTTCACCACCTCTTCGTAGTAGCAGATATCTGAAGTTTTACTGGGACTCCTGATAGGCCAGAGCCTGTTTGGCTCTAGCAGCCTTGAGTGCAGTGCATGGCACTAGTGCCGTAGGTTGCCTACCCCTGGACTAGAGGAACTGAGGGATTTGGGCCTAAAACATGGACTCTCCCATAGTCCCGCCTAAAGGAAAACACTTGGGAGGCATGTAGTTCTTTTCTTCTGATTTGAAGTTCATTCTACACTTTATTTTCCTTAAATTATCTGTTGGGTTTCCCATAGTATTCTGCTGTACATTAAAGGGATCCTATAGTCACTAAAATAACTTTAGCTTAATGAAACAGTATTGAAATATAGATCATGTCCCCTTAGTCACACTGTTCAATTATCAGCCATTTAGGAGTTGAATCACTTTGTTTAGGCAGCCCTAGGCACACCTCCCTGCACGTGACTGACAGATTTCCTAAGCGCTTCCTGTAAAGAGTCATTTAATGTTTACACTGTCTTTATTGTAAATTCTGTTTAATTTAGAATTTCTTATCTCCTGCTCTGTTAATAACTTGCTATACCCTGCAGGAGTCTCCTGTATGTAATTAAAGTTCAATTTACAGAGCAGTAGATAAAAACGTTTAAAGTAAGTTACATCTGATTGATAGTGAAACCATTTTCATGCAGGCTGTGTCAGTCACAGCCAAGGAGGGTGTGGCAAGGGCTGCATAAACAGAAACAAAGTGATTTAACTCCTAAATGACAGTGAATTGAGCAGTGAGACTTCAGAGACAGGCTCTATACACAAAAATGGCTTAATTAATCTAAAGTTATTTTGGAGACTATAGTGTTTCTTTACAAAGGGTAATCACCCTTTATGTCAGAGCTATATGTGATGATCACATTTGGACATTGTATGTGTATGACATGCAATGCATGTGCGGCCCATGAAAGATGTTTTGAATCAGTCTGCCAACTCTCAGCTATTTCATCATTTGTGATATTAGATTACATTAAACATAACTTGATTATCTAGGAAATTATAGATGTCAGAGGAGAGCAGTGCGTGTGGATTATTAAATTAATTTGCATCACCTACCATATGTTTGTCCACACAGTGCTATAAGGGAGATGGAATAGTGTGGATCTTATCAGTGAGGTCCTCTGTCACCTGGCATGTTGTACAAAAACAAAGGGGTCTGTTCACAAAGGTGAACTTTACATCTACTTTTAAAAAGAAAACATTTGGAAAAAGGCAGATGAAAATGCAAAAATGCAGGAACTTGTTCTATCTACAAAACACTGGGTAAAAAGAAAATATTTAACTTCAGATATGGAGATGATGTGGAGCTTTGCTAAAAAAAATGGCATTAAATAGTTACTCTAAGCATGTAATTTGCAGTGGTCATGGTGCTTGGAGTCTGTTTGTAGAGCTATTCGCTATAAAACAGTGCACATAGAGAGTTAAACGTCTTTGCTGCTGGAGGTGTTACTTCACTTCTGGCAGTGTCATTAGTGCGGCATTAACCAGCCCAGATCTAGAGTTCCA